CCCAGTGTATCCTGGGTCCCCTCCTCTTTTTATACGCTCTCCTTTGGTGATCTCATCCATTCCCATGGGTTGACTTTGTCCCAAATTTGTGTTTTATCCTGAACTCCAGTCCTGCAATTATCTGTTGGATATCTTCATCTGAATGTCTCAAGTCTCAAAATCACCCAGTCCAGAACAGACCTCATCATCCTCCCATCAAAACCACCCAACCTCTTCTATTTCTCTATTTTGGTTAATGGCATCAGCAATTTTCTAATAACAATGATACCTAGCATTTATATAGTGCTTTAAAATTTAGAGTACTTTACATATGTTAACTCAATTGATCCTCTCAACATCCCTGAGAGATAGGTGCCTTTATTATCCTCATTTTACAGATGAGGAAACTGAGGCACCAAGAGGTTAAATGACTTGCCCAGACTCCCAAATCTAATAAATGACTGGCTCTCGTAAATGACAGATCTTTCTGACTCTACATCCCTCACTCCATTTGTTATGCCACCTAGCGACCTCTAAATCATCCTTCAGCTCTCTCTTCCCTGTTACCCCTATGTTCATCCATTTGCCAAGTTCTGTCAGCCCTATTTCCACAACCTCTTTTGCCTCTGTACCTTTCCGTTCTCACAGACACCACCCTGAGACACTGTGTGACCTGGGACAAATCATTTAACTTCTGCCTTAGTTTATTCAAAATGGGGATAATAATTAGACCTACTTCCCAGGGTTATTGTGAAGATCAAATGAGATGATAATAATTGTGAAGGGCTTGAGCATTAATTAATGCTTCTTTCCTTACCCTGGTTCAGATCCTCATCACCTCTCACCTGGAGTATCAATAGACTGGCATTTATTAAATGCCTACTGTGTGCCCAAGAGTGTGCTAGACACTGGGGTTAAAAGACAATAAATGAAATGATTCTTACTCTCAAAGAGCCTCCATCTTCGATTTCCCCTTTCTCTCCCCTCTCCAATGCATTCTTCTCAGAGCCACCAGACTAATCTTGCTAAAGCATACCTCGTCTTATCAATTCCTGCTTAAAAACCATGAAGCTTCCTATTGCCTTACAATAAAACTCAAGTTCTTTGTCCTGACCTAGAAGGCCGTTCACCCCAGCTTACCTTTTCTGGTGGCCTCTTTCACATTCCTTCCCTTCACACGCTGTGTTCTGGTCACGCTAGACATCTGGCTCTTTCCCAGACTCAGGTGCCACCTCCAGGTATCCATCATGCCTGCAACGTACTCCTTCCTCCTCTTCTCATTGCAGAATCCTTCTTGATCAAGGACCAGCCCAGTTGTTGCTTTCTCTATGAAGCTTTCCCTTATCCTCCCACCAAAGGTATTTCTTCCTTCCTCCAAGTTTTCTACAACACTATCTCTCTCTGGATCTCTCCTCTCCTCCCGTTCCCCATCACGTACTGCCTTGCATCATGCTTACCAGCATAAATGCCACGTGCCCACCTCCCCATAGAACACAAGCGTTTTGAAGGCAGGAACTGGTTCTTCTCATCCTCAACACCTTGTACATAGTAGGCCCTTAATAAGTATTTGCTGAAATTCAGTTGAATGGAATAGAACTATAGTGTGGTATCAAGGAAAGAGCACTGCTTTTGGAACCAAAGGACCTGGCTTCAGGTAGTTGTGCTACCTGTGTGAATTAGGTAAATGAGAGACAGGTGAGTGGTACCGTGGGTAGAGCACCAGGCCTAGAGTTAGGAAGACTTGAGTTAAAGTCTGACCTCAGACACTTACTAGCTGTGTGACCCTGCTTTGTCTGCCCCAGTTTCCTTATCTGTAACAATCTGTAAAAAAAAATAATAATAATGATAATAACTCCTACCTCATAAGATTTTTGTGAGTATCAAATGAGATAATAATTATAAAGCACTTAGTACAGTGCTTGGTACATGGCAAGCAGTATATAAATAATAGTTATTATTATTAAATCACTTCACCTGTCTGAGACTTCCTTCTTTATAAAATAAGGAGGTTGGACTCAATTATGTCCAAGGTTCTTTCTAGCTCTAATCTATGATACAATGAGGCTCTCATCATTACTGGAACCTCCCCCTAGCTAAGAATGTTTCTAAGCTAGAAAATGTCCAACCCCTTTGAACCTGAAATCTCGTTACTAGGCATATACCCTAAGAAGGTCTTTGATAAAAAGAAAGTCTCCCTATACACCAAAATATTTCCAGCATCACTTTTTATGGGGAAAAAGAATTGGAACCAAAGTAGATGGGAATTAGTTGAGGAGTGGCAAAAAAAAAAATTGTGCTATATCAACATAATAAAATATTACTCTGTCATAATAAATAAGATGCATACAGAGGAGCATGAAAAGACCTCCATGAACTGATGCAAAGTGAAGGGAGCAGAGCCAAAGAAATAATATATACAATGACTGCTACAATGTATGAAAATAACAGCCATCACATAGCAACTGAAAGTGAATATTATAAAGTTACAGGGTACAAGTGTGGCTTCTTCCCTCTACTCATCTTTAGAGATGGGGATCTTTGGATCTAGAACATGGACAGATATTTTTAGGTATTGATTGGTTTTGCTGATTTTTTACTTCCTCTTTTCTCTTAAAAAAAAAATTCTCCCTTCTAAAAGATGGCTCTCTGTGAGGGCTGTGGGAGAGACATACAGGGGGAAATGTAGGTGATGTTAAAACAAAAGATATTGATAAATTTATATATTTTTTAAAAGTTTATGAGTCAGAAATATCTATTTCAGAGGTTATAAGTGTAGTGCCTCATCAAATTTGAGGTTAGAACATCCCACTTTGTAACATCAGCTCTGCTCGCTTTCCTTTTGTGGAAAACTGAATCACTCTAACATTCTGTGACTGAAAAGGTCAACTATGTGTGGGCTGGACTTTTTATTTTTTTAACTGATGTAAGTAGATTTTCTATTACTGAAAAGTAAACCACAGCCTGCACATATTTCAAGATGTCCCCTCCTTTTTAAAGAAGTCTCTGACAAATTATTCAATAGGAACAACTGAATTCTACTATCCACCCTCCCTATATCCCCCACTCAACTCGTGTGCATTAAAAATATAAATTTCACTATCACTCAAATCTCACCAAAATAAGCCTAATAATTCCAGCAGTGGGAGGAAGGGCCGGCATAGAACAAGGGTGGGTTAGTGAAAGGGCCCCAGATTTGGCATGGAAGGATCTGGCTTCAAGCCTCAGTTTGAGTACTTATATGCTTTGCATCTTAAGCACACTTACCTTCAGAGCCTCAGTTTCCTCATCTGTGAATCAAGCATGCTTATATTTCAGTACATACCCAGCAAGATTATTGTGAAGGTGAAACAAGATTGTGTGTGTATGGGTGTGGTGTTTTGAAAAATGTAGTGATGATGATGATGATAATAATAATAGCTAGGATTTATGTAAGACTTTATGGTTTGCAAAGCACTACACATTTTATATCATTTTCCCCCCACAAAGAAGGTGCAAAATGTTAGAGGGCACAGAGTCAGGAAACCTGGGTTCAAATCCAGCCTCAGATGCTTACTAGCTATGTGTCCCTGGGCAACTTACTCAGTTTCCTTAACTATAAAATAGAGGGTAATAATGGCACCTACTTCATAGGATTGTTGCAAGGATCAAATGAGATAATATTTGTGAAGTGCTTGGCACAGTACCTGACTTAATAAATCCAGTATTTAATAAGTACTTTTTTCCCTTCTGACCAGGACATAATACAACAGGTATTGTGACACCTCTGGGCATTTTCCCATAAGGCAAAGAATCACAGGTATCATAGATTTAGAGCTACGAGAAATCTCTTAACTCCCTCATTTTACAGGTGGAAGTAATTGAGGCCAATGAAGCTATCAGTATTCCTGGGAGCTGTGCCTTTCTTAGTGCAGCCCACAATTTCAACAACTGTTTTGGCCAGCATCATCTACTTTTCACTGTCATTGACCTTGAAGTCCACTAAAAAACCCCAGATCTTCTTCAGACAAACTGTGGTTTACTCCTACCTCCCCTGTCATGTTGGAGTGGAAGAGAGAGAGGGAGTAAGAAAGGTAAGCCGTGGATTCTGAGGATAAGATCTTAGATTCATTATTTATGACAGGGAGGGGGGATTAAAATGAGAGCATAAGGGGGAGGGAGAGAAAGCAAAGAGGAAGGAAGAGAAGGAGGGAAGGATAATGGAACAGAGAGAGGGAAGGAGGAAGCAAAGGAGAGAAAGGGAAAAGAGGGAAAGAAAAACAGAGAGAGGAAGGGAGGAAGTGGAGAGAGGAGGGAGTTGATTTTCTGAACCCATGTCAGTCTCTAGCTACCTTTATTCCTATTAAATGTCATCTTATGACAACTGTCAGTAGGAGTAGAAACCTCCAGATGTGGTAATAGAGACAGTTGGCTGTGCACCTTTCAGATTGTCAGCACCAAGCAAGCACTTCAGTGAGGGCCATGATAGTCTTATTAATCATGACACCAGCTGCAGAATGACAGAGATAGAAGGGAGCGTGAAACACCAAATGCTGGGGAGATATGGACGTTTTGCAGTCTAGGCCAATCCCACCTAGGATTTCCTTGAAGTCTACTTTTGGCTGAAATAGACTTGGAAAGCATTTACATTTGGACTGAAAGCTGCCCACAGCAAAGTGGGGTTGTGTATAATGATAGAAATAGTGTGGAAGGCAGATGACCTGGGTTTAAATCCTTGCTTTGCCATGAACTTGCTGTATGATCTCAGATAAGTCAGTTTTCCTTACTGGTACTCAATTTCCTCATCTGAAAAAGAAATTATGTGATCTACACACTCAAAACTACTATGACAAAAGGACTTTGTAAACCTTCAGATGCTGTAGAAATAGTTGTTGTTATTATTATTTTGTGCAGTGAGATGTTCAGCTTGTTCTCTGGACCTAGGTCTTCCCTGCCTCTCAAAGATGGTGGGCCCATTTGTCCATAATATGAGGTAGGTGGGGCCCCTGGTGCATCCGAATTAATGTGCTGTGTGCTATTGTCAGTAGTGCTTCATGGTCTCTGGGGTTTTGAGTTCCTGTCTCTGGGGTGTGGTCTCAAGGTCTTCCTCCTGCTAAAAGTGAGCACAGACAGACTTTACAAGAGGATCATCTGAAATAAACAGCGACTGTCCATCTCTGTGCAAAGGAAAATGTAGCTGCCTGTTGAGGAAGTCACTGAAGCCGGTGGTGGGGCCTGCCTGACATGGCCAGCATGCTGGAATTGATTCTTCTCATGGCTCCCTGTGGGTACCTGGGTAAGAGCCTGTCTTACATAGTATTCTCTCTCTCTCTCTCTCTCTCTCTCTCTCTCTCTCTCTCTCTCTCTCTCTCTCTCTCTCTCTCTCTCTCTCTCTCTCTCTCTCTCTCTCTCTCTCCCCCTCCCTCCCCTCTTTTGCTCTTCATTCTCCCTTTCTTTCTCCCTGTCTCTCTTCCTCACCCCTTTCCCCAATCTCTTTCTTTCTTTTCCTACATTCCTCTCTCTCTCTCCACTTCCTCCCTTCCTCTCTCTCTGTTTTTCTTTCTTTCCCTCTTTTCCTCCCTTCCTCTCGCTCCCTGTCTTCTTCCCTTCCTTTCTCTCCCTTGCTTCCTCCTTCCTTCTCTCTGTTCCACTATCCTTCCCTCCTTCTCTTCCTTCTTCTTTGCTTTCTCCCCCTCTCCCTCGTGCTGTCATTTTAATCCCCTCCCCCATGAATACATGAATCTAAAATCTTATCCTTAGAATCCATGGCTTACCTTAAATTACACCTTAAGAGAATGAATTCATTTAAGAAAGACCACATTTATATAATGCTGTCTTCACAAACTCTGTGAGGAAGAGAATGCAGATCGTCATTTTATACGTAAAGGAAACTGAGGCTCAGATATTGCCCCAAAATCACACAGTGAGCTGGTAACCGAAGTAGGATCATCTGATTTAGAGTGGGAAGGAGGGAAGGAAGGAAATGAACCCTTATTAAGTACCTACTATGTGCCAGGTGCTAGGCTAAGTGCTTCATAAATATGACCTCATTTGCTCCCTATAACAAGCCTGGGAGGTAGGAAGGAACCTGATAAGTGATCTAGCCCTACTCTGTCATTACAGATGAGGAAACTGAGGCCCAGACCTCTCTGGTCACAAAGGTAGTACATGGCAAAATCAGGACTCAAACCCAGGTTTCCTAGCTCCCAAGTCTAGAACCCTCATTATTAGACCATGCTGCCTCCCCTCCTTCTAGGTGTACGTGTATTTTAAATCCCTGCCTACAGTTTTATAAAGCTTTCAAAATCTGCCCATCTGTAGAATATTTTAAAAATCTGTGTCTAATGATAGCCATCTCTAAGGGTGAGGGAGGGAAAAAAAGAAAAAAAGAAATTTATATTATAACTTTATTATATATTTAAAACGAATTACAGGTTGTGCACAATAGATTTGCAGTTTCATATGCAATCGTTTCTTTTATTATACAGTGACGTGGAAATGCTTGTTTTATTCCATAAATTAAAAATAAAAAATTTTTAAGAAGTCTATCCCAAAGGATCACAGTATCATAGACTTAGAAGCCATCTAGTCTAACCCCTTCATTTTACAGATAAAGAAACTGAGGTCCAAAAAGGTGAAGCCATTTACCGAAGGTCACACAGGCAGTAAATGAGAATCCCAAATTTGAACAAGTGTCCCCTGCTCTCTGTCCTGGGCTCTTTCCATTAACACCCTGTGACAGGACCTCATAAGCTTGATTGTTGAATCTTGAAAGAAGATATTATAAACAACTGAAAGGTTGGCCCATGGAACTTTTCCAGGCCCATGTTTTTGTCTAAGAAATGACCATGAAAATGTTACACTTTGTTGGCTGCTAAAAGGGTTGAATATAAATTATATGTATATGTGTGTGTGTGTGTGTGTGTGTGTGTCTGTATCTATTATAGGTGCTAGGCTAAGTACTACATATATGTGTGTGTATATATATAGATAGATATTTATATAAATTGATTCCTAAAATGGTCAGCAAATTCTACTAAATGAAGCCCTTGAGTTTCACTTCATTTAAAGAACTGGCTTTTAGGAGTAAATGTTTTTACAAGAACAGTTTTGTGAATATAGAGATGGGATCAAACTACTACTAAGTTGGGTGATCGTTAAGTTCCTTATCAGTTTTCAGGTTTCTATTGGACAGGTAAGAAAAGAAGGAAACAAGCATTTATTAAGCACCTACTATTTGCCAGGCTCTTTACAAATATCATCTCATTTGATTTTCACACCATCCATGGGAGGTAGGTGCTGTTATTATTCTTATTTTATAGTTGAAGAAACTGAGGCAGGCGGAGGGTAAGTACCTTGCCCAGAGTCACACAGCTATAAAGTATTCGAGATTGATTTGAACTCAGGTCTTCCTGACTCCCAAGTCCAGACCTCTATCGGTACCTCTTAGATGCCTCTGGAACTCTGTTGTATACTTCTGAATCCGTAGATGAGGGGTAGCACCGTGCGTGTTGTGGGCTGGTGAATGAGCAAGATATAGTTCAAGTGTTATCCATGATGCATTCTGACTGTGTAACCCTGGGCAGGTATCCAACCTCTCTGAGCCTCAGGCAACTCTCTAAGAGCTTTAAGTTACAGATGAGATGCTGAGCCATCTGTGGAGGAACAGGGATGGGCTAGAACAAAAATATTCCTCTTCACAACTAGCTTAATGCCCTTCACATGATAAGTACTCAGTGTTTGGTAAACAAACGAATGAAGAGCTTTCAAATTCAGCTTGTTAGATTGCTCCCAGCCGGTTCCCCAGATGATTCAGAGGTGGGGAACCTTCGGCCTCGAGGCCACATGTGGCCTTCTAGGTCCTCGGGTGCGGCCTTTTGACTGAGTCCAAGTTTTACAGAACTAATCCTTTTACGAAGGGGATTTGTTCTGTGAAGTTTGGACTCAGTCAAAGGGCTGCACTTGAGGACCTAGAGGGCCACATGTGGCCTCGAGGCCGAAGGTTCCCCACCTCTGCAGGAAGTCAGCGGGGCCCTCTGAGTCTAATCAGTCCATTACCCTTTTGCCTGGTTGCCTAACCAAAACAAAACAAGACAAAAAACCCCCAACAAACTCAACAGTGATATTCTCTCCCTATCTCCCAATCTGAACCCGTTCTGCCCCAGCTCCCTCCCTTGTGTGCACTCATTCTTGAACAGAATTAAAACACTTTTCTCTTCCTCTTGGTCCCCAGAGCCCGAAGCCAATTTGTATTTCTTTGTCACTAAACTTCCTTGTAGCTTCTTGAGCTGGCCCAGGCAGACAAAGAGGCGCCCTTCTCTGTATATCCACAGCCAGCCATATTTGATTAGACTTCAGAGGTGATTGGCTCTACCCCAACCCACTGTGTGACCTTGGGAAGATCCTCTCTGCATCTCACTTTCCTCATCTGTGTAATGGAAGGGCTGGGCCAGCCCATAGGAACACAGCTGCAGAGCTAGAAGGGACCCCAGAAACCATTGAATCTAACCCCTTCCTTTTACAGATGAGGAAACTGATTAGATTAGATAACTTGACAAAGTCTAAGATTCTAAGACTATTCTTCTTTTATTAACATTTTAAAATTGATTTCAAGGAGTAGCTTGGAATCATTAAAAGTATTATGTTTCCCAAATACAACCTAGCCCATTTCATCCTCTTATCTAATTAGATTTAGACCATTCATACAGAAACTAAAAATGCCATAGATAAATGCGTGATCAGCTGGAGAATTTTCTAGCTGGTTTCTTCTCTCTTTTCTGGCAGGAATGTGCCAGGGTCAGAGGTGGGTTACCCATAAAAAGTATAGATCATGAGAACTTGTAGGGAGCTCAGCAGTTACAAAATCTAACCTCTTCATTTTACAGATGGGAAAACTAAGGCTTACAAGTCAGGTAGCTTGCCCATAGTCACACAAATAGTCCCTCTACTTGGGGTAGGACCAGCCTTATACTGCTAGGCCTGTGGCATTTCCATACTTTTTTCAATGAAATCGGTTGTCTTTCACTAACACTCCCTCCCATACCTCATCTACAAAATAAGGGGATTGGACCACAAGAGATCTCAGGTGGAGGTGACCCTGGATTCTTTTTTTCCCCCAAAGTTTTTATTATTTTGATTTATCAACAATCACTTCTATAAGCTCCTGAGTTTCAAATTTTTCTCCCCCTTCCCCCACAAGATGCAATCCGACACAGGCTATATGTATACATTTCTATTAAACATTTTTTCACATTAGTCATGTTGTAAGGAAGAATCCAATAGGAGGAACCACCAGAAAGAGGAAACAAAACAAAACAGAAGAAAAAAAATAGCAAATAGTATGCTTCAATCTGCATTCAAACTCCATAGTTCCTTCTGGATATGGATAGCATTTTCCATCATGAGATCCCTGGAGATGTCCTAGATCCCTGCATTGCTGAGAAGTGCCAACAAAGTCAGTCATTATTCAATGTGGCAGTTACTGTGTACGATGTTCTCCTGGTTCTGCTCACTTCACTTAGCATCAGTCTATACAAATCTTTCCAAGTTCTTCTGAAATCTGCCTGCCCATCATTTCCCACAGCAGAATAGTATTCCATCACATTCACACACCACAACTTGCTCAGCCATTCCTCAACTGATGGGCATCCTCTCAGTCTCCAACTCTGTGCCACCACAAAAAAAGGCTGCTACGTATATTTCTGTACATGTGGGTACCTTTCCCACTTTTATGATCTCTTTGAGATACAGCCCCAGAAGGGCTACTGCTGGGTCAAAGGACATGCACATTTCCATAGCCCCTTGGGCATAGTTCCAAACCACTCTCCAAAATGGTTGGATCACTTCACAACTCCACCAATAATGTACCAGCGCTCCAATTTTCCCCCATCTTCTCCAACATTTATCATTTACTTGTTTTGTCATGTTGGCCAATCCGATAGGTGTGATGTGGTACCTTAGAGTTGTTTTGAGTGCTTTAGAGCATTTTTCATATGACTATAGATGACTTTAATTTCTTCATCTGAAAATTGCCTGTTCACATCTCTTGACCATTCATCAATTGGTGAATGACCTGTATTCTCACAAATTAGACTTAGTTCTCTCTATATTTTAGAAATGAGGCCCCTATCAGAGACACTGGTTGTAAAAATTCCTTCCCAGTCCCTGTCTCCCTCCAATCTTGACTACATCGACTTTTTTGTGCAAAAACTTTTCAATTTAATGTAATCAAAGTTATCCATTTTGGATTTCATAATGTTCTCTATCTCCTGTTTGGTTATAAATTCTTCTGTTCTCCATAAATCTGACAGGTAAACTATTCCTTTCCCTCCCAGTTTGCTTATAGTATCAGCCTCTATATCTAAATCATGAACCCATTTTGACTTTATTTTGGTATATGGTGTGAGATTTTTGTCTATGCCTAGTTTCTGCCATACTCTTTTCCAGTTTTCCCAGCAACTTTTGTCAAATAGTGAGTTCTTATTGCAGAAGCTGGGGTCTTTGGGTTTATCAAATAGTAGATTAGCATAGTCATTGACTACTATGTCTTGCATACCTAACCTATTCCACTGATCCACTACTCTATTTCTTAGCCAGTACCAAGTAGTTTTGATGATTGTAGCTTTGTAGTACAATTTAAGATCTGGAATAGCTAGGCCACCTTCCCCTCTATTTCTTTTCATTAGTTCCCTTGATATTCTGGACCTTTTGTTATTCAAATGAATCTTGTTATTATTTTTTCTAGCTCTATAAAATAATTTTTGGTAGTTTGATTGGTATGGCACTGAATAAGTAAATTAGCTTAGGTAGAATTGTCATTTTTATTATATTAGCTCAGCCTACCCATGAGCAACTGATGTTTTTCCAGTTAGTAAGATCTGACTTTATTTGTGTGAGAAGTGTTTTGTAATTGTGTTCATTTAGTTCTTGGTTTCCTTTCGGGAGGTAGACTCCTAAATATTTTATAATGTCTACAGTAACTTTAAATGGAATTTCTCTTTCTGTCTCTTGCTATTGGGTTGACCCTGGATTCTTTAAGGCTGTGACTGAAGAACACAGGCCCTCCCAAGATGGAGCGCATCATAGATTTATAGGCTCATAGGTTTAAGGCAGGAAGAACCTACAGATTACAGAAGACCAACCCCCTCATTTTACACATAAACAAACTGAACTTCAGAAAGGTTAAATAATTCACCATAGGTCACACAGATGGCAGATGAGAAGCAGAGTTGGGATTTGAACCCAGGTCCTTTCCTTCTTCCCAGCTTCCCTCTGACTATGAAGTAATCCTCCTAGGCACCCTGGCTCAAAACCTAGGCACCATCCTTGATTCCTCATTTTCTCTCATCACCCATATCCAATCTATTGTTAAGTTGGCCCTGCTAGTCACCCTGTCCTCTCCTCTGACACTGCTACCACCTAGGCCCAGGCCTCATCACCTCACCATTGAGCTATCTCAATAGCCTTTGATCGGTCTCTCTGCCTCCAGTGGCTTCCTGTTACCTCCAGGATCAAATTTAGAATCCTCTGTTTGGCTTTCAAAGCCCTTCATAAACTAGCCCCTTCCTACCTTTCCAGTCTTCTCACATATCCCTCTCTTCCATGTATACTACTACTCAGTGACATTGGCCTCCTTGTTCTGACAGAAGATGCTCCACCTCCCACCTTGGAGAATTGTCATTGGCTGTTCCCCGAGCCTGGAATTTCCTCCTCCTAGAGTCTACCATCTGATTTCCCTGGTTTTTTTCGAGTCTCAGCTAAAATCCTACCTTCTGCAAGAAAACTTTCATGGCTAGTGCCCCTCTGTTGATTATCTCACACACACACACACACGTATATATATATATATATATATATATATATATATATATATGTATATATATATGTATATATATGTATATATATAGAGAGAGCATTATATATATGTTGATTATCTCATATATGTATATATTTAGAGCATTATATATATATTTTATTCATATATATATGTGTATATAAATAATGCTCTAAATCACTATTGATTAGAGAGATGTAAATCAAGGAGGCTCTGTGGTACCACATCACACCTATTGGATTGGCCAACATGACAAAATAGGTAAATGATGAATATTGGAGAAGATGTGGGAAAATGTGGGTGCATTGTTGGTGGAGTTGTGAAGTGATCCAGCCATTTTGGAGTGCGATTTGGAACTATGCCCAAGAGGCTATGGAAATGTGCATGCCCTATATACATATGTGTGTGTATGTATATATGTATATGTATATATATGAGATATATATGCATATGTGCATATATATGTGTATATGTACTGTATGTTTATATAAAATCCTGTTTGTACATAGTTGTTTGCTTGTCATCACCCCCATTAGACTGTGAGCTCCTTGAAAGCAGGGAATTTCTCTGCTTTACTGATTACTTATTAGCTGTGTGATCTTAAACAGAACACAGCCTTTCTGGGCCTCATGAGTTTTGATCATCTGTAAAATGAGGGAGTTGAGATAGTTAGCCTCTGAGGCCCTTGCCAGTTCTAAATCCAAAATTATGGATAATCTACTTCTGTATTTTCCAGATGAAGAAAGTAAGGCCCACAGAGTTCTGTGAGACCATAAAAAGGGATTGGGATGTCCATTCTGGGGATATTCTGGACTTTCTCTTCAGTAGTTAAGATAGTGATAATTCTTCTTTTGCTAAAAGTGCTGACATCAGTGAATAACTTGACAATCACTCAGAGCCCTTCTGAGCTGCAGCTACTGGTAGGACAGTCTGCTGAAATAATCTGTTCCTGGAATGTCAGTTCTGAGGTGGAACAGTTTCGAGTACAATGGAAGAAAGTCAGCCACGTCCAAGACAGTGTTACCCATCCAACAAAAGCCCTCAAAGACAATGCTACCCTCATTAAGAAGAACTTGTACAACAGAAGCGGTTTCACCCAAGGAACTGGGAAGGAACCCCTGGAACTAAAAAACCTGCAAGTACATGACTCTGGACTTTATTTATGTAAAATAACAGTTGACATTCCTATATATAAGCACGCACAAGGACCTGGGACTCTTCTTACTGTGAAAGGTAAGGCACAAGGGATGCTTCCCTCCCATGTTTTCTCTTAACCCTTCCCTTATAGCACTAGAAGGGACCCTAGTGATCTCATCTAACCCCATCATTTTATGAAGAAGGGCTGTGGGGCCAAGGAGGTCAAGTTACTTCCCCAAGTTCATACCATAAGCATCACAGATAGGATTTAAATACAGATCCTCTGCTACAGAACAGGTTCTTTCTCCATTGTACCTCACTGTGCCCCCTGTATCCATTGTGTCCGCCTCACTGTAGATATCAAAATAGATGGTGGGAAGCATAGGAATTTGCCCATTTTTTTTCAAAGAGTAGAAACACTAGTGATCATAGGATTTGGGGATGGAAAGAAATTTTAAAGTCCTTTATTTAGTCCAACAGGCTGAGAAAACAGGTCCAGAGAGGGTCAGTAATTTGTCCAAGGTCACACAGTTAGTAAATAGCAGACAGAACTGGGACTCAAAGTCAGGACCTCAGACTTCACATCTACTGTTCTTCCTATCAAACACACCACTGAGAACTTCATGGAAATTTCTTTCCTTTTGAAATGAAGAGTTGGAATAGATGATCTCTAAGGTCCACTCCTGTAACTCAATCTGACGTGGTTTTACATTATTTTATTTATTTTTATATTATTTATTGTTTAATATTTAGTGTTATTTTATTCATATGGGGCTCTATACAGAAGTATGCTGGTAGATATTGAACAACCAACCCTCGGGGGGAAAAACCTAACCCTGACACACTTTTAAGTTTCGTCTACATTTTCATCATTTCTCCATCACTTTCTTAAGTCTAGAAATCAATGAAACAGTGAATCAAGCCCTGATTTGTACCTTTGCTGATTTCTGAGGTGTAAACATTCACACTGAAAATTTAAGTCAGCTCCCAAGAACCAGTTCGAGCTGGCTCTATCTAGCATGCTCCTGAAGGTCTTTGCATATCTGTCTATGTGTGTATATGTATACATATGTGTGTATGTACATATATACGTGTGTGTGTATATGTATTTTTCTATGTACTTTCTCATTTGGTTCTCACAACAACCTTGTGAGGCCAATGATATTTTTATGCCCATTTTACAGAGGAGAAAATTGAGGCTAGAGGAGGTTGAGTGATATGTCCATGGTCACACGGCTTTGTGTCAGAGGCAATCTTAAGTTTTTCTTGTGCTTGATCCCCTTCCCTGAACCCTCCTGTGTACACACACACACACGCACACACACGCACATGCACACCCCCCACCACCATAATAACCAGCATTGAGGAAGCATCTGATAACACCTTATCGAATGAATGAATGAAAAATCATTGGTCATTAATAATTGCAGCCGAGCTGTTAGATTCAGCTCAGCGCCTTCTCTGACACCTTCTGCCCATTTCTGTCTTCCTTCTTTGCTTCCCCTTCCTCTTAAGGAATGACAGCATCTGCTGATAGAAAACACTCCAAAAGGAGCAGCACCCGGAAGCAGAGGAAATGTGACGGTGTTTTTTTTTTTTCACCTCCATTGCCTGATCTTTGAAGCTGCCATTTACCCTACTCAGATTATGGGCATTTGACCAGTGCTCATTTGATCAAGCGCAAGTTTTTATTTATTCAACAAATATGTATTAAGTGCCTGCTGTGTCTAGCACACTATGCTCTGGGCTGGGAGAAATGCAAAGATAGACTCCTTGCCCCCCAGGCGCTTACATTCTTGTCAGGAGACTAGGTTCTAAATACACAAAAATTAAACTAACAGAAGAGTTAAATAAATAACTAATAAAAATAGCTAATAGCTAAATAAAGAGTATCAATGATCAATATTAATTATTAAATAAACAGCTGATAGAAATAACCAACAATTAAATAGCATCAATAATAAATGTTAATTATTTTTAAATAGCTAACAAATAAGAAACTAATAGCTTTTTTTTTTTTTTGCTTTTAGGCAGTTGGGGTTAAGTGACTTGCCCAGGGTCACACAGCTAGTAAGTGTCAAGTGGTTGGTCTGAGGCCGGATTTGAACTCAGGTCCTCCTGACTTCAGGGCCGGTGCTCTATCCACTGTGCCACCTAGCTGCCCCCCAGAAACTAATAGCTTTTAAAAAACATTTAATAAAAGACACTAGTGGATCAGCCCAATGTTCTGGTAAACTGAGGCTCAGAGAAGTGGCTTGCTCAGGATCATATAGGTCATCGGTAAGCGGCAGACCCAGGCCACAGTTCTTCCTACTGCAGAATTCCCAGGTAGACCCAACAGCAGCAACTTTCCGTGATCGATTCATAGCCACCAGTACTGACTGAGCATCCACTTGGACTGCACAGTAGACTTGTTTGGCCTTAATTCAATTCCATAACCATTTATCCAGTGTGAGACGGCAACCAAAGAAAGTGAACACCATCCTAGTCTCTGTTAAGAGAAACATGGGGCTGGGGGTGCGGCTACGTGGTGTGGTGGAGAGAGCGCCAGCCCTGAGGTCAGAAAGACCTGAGTTCAAATTTGACCTCAGACCAAACACTTGACACTTACTAGCTGTGTGACCCTGGGCAAGTCATTTAACCCCAATCGTCTAAAATAATTAGTTAATTAATTAATTAATTAATTAAAGAAGAAACATGGCGTTAGGGAGGGGTTATGTTCATTATATTCTGCTCTGACCAGGCTACATTTGGAATGCTGGGCTCGATTCTAGGCATTACATTTTAGGAAGTCAGTTGACAAACTTTATAGTGTCCAGACAAGGGCTACCAGGAGAGTAAAGTCAAGGGTCTTACTTCATGCTGTATGAGAATTGAAGGGGCTGGGAATGTTTAGCGTGGAGATGACAAGACTTAGCAGGGGTGGCTGTGCAGTGGAGATGATGGCTGTCTTCAAGTATTTGAAAGACTGTCATGGAAAAAGGGATTTGACCTACTCTGCTTGGCCCCAGGGGGAGGAGCCAGAGGGGAGGTTGCAGAGACATATTTAAGCGTGATATAGGGAGACCTTCCTAACCATTAGAATTATCCAAAAGTAGAATGAGCTGCTTTGGGACATAATGGGTGCCTTCTTTATTGAACGTCCCTTCCAACATAACTTTTCTGTGCCTCTGCTTTCTCATAAGTAAAATGAGGTGGTTGAATTTAATGATCTCTAAGGTTCTTTCCAGCTCTGAGACTGTTTTCCTACTAATATTAACCCATAAAAATATATATTGTTACCACTTATTAGCTATGTGGCAACTCAACCTTTCTGAAACTATTTTCTTAGTTAAAGATATGGTAACAATATGTATACTTGGTGGGAGAGGTTGGTGAAGGTGGTATGATATCTGTAAAATGAGGAGGTTGGACTAAAGCAGCAGTTCTTCAATGTTTCGGTCACAATAATAGTCTTCCTACATCTTAGGATTTTTGTGGGGTGCAGATGGATGTAAAATACTATATAATGTCAACAGTTACTATTATAAACCTTTTCTATGGATTCTGTGGATGTAGAGGGGAGTTAAAATTTCATAGTGATATAACTAAACCATTTTGGGAATTAATTTCGATGTTTTTTAGTGCTTTAAAGTAACAGACATAGATGACTTTTGCCTATATTCTTTGCAGAAAAGAATAAAAAAAAACAATGGCCCTGGTGGACTTTGGTGATCTTTCTTCTCCTAACATTCAGTGCCTGCTTGAGCTATTATTTCAAGAAGCGAAAGAATTCAAAAAGAATTGGTAAGAGTTGTTTCAAGTGTTCTAAAAATGTAAGAGGTTATGGCAGAGGAGGGGAATGTGCATTTATTAAGTGTTTATCATGTGCCAGCTAGGCCAAGACTCTCACAACAGTCCTTGGAAGTCGATGCTATTATTATATCCATTTTACAGCTGAGGAAACTGAGGCAGGCAGAGGTGAAGTGACTTGCCCAGAGTCACATAGCTACAAAGTATCTGAAAGTAGATTTGAACTCAGGTCTTCCTGATCCCATGACTAGCACTCTAGCTACTATACCACTTTCTAAATAGTGTTATTGTTACTGTTATTATTGCTTATAACTAATAATTATTCCTAACAGCTAGTAATAATATCAATATTAATAACCCTTTCTTTAAATAAATTTTTATTTACATATACCATAAACTTGCCATGTAACAATATGTCATTTTCCTCTTTTTATATCATCATTAGGGATAGGGACTAGATCTGGGATTTCATTGATATGGATTACACCTAGATAAGGAAACCCTTATCAATGCAAGTCAGGATTATCTCTGGTCTTAAAGAGCTACCAAGAGCCCTGATCTCTTAAGTGTCTTGTCCGGGGTCATACAGCTCAGAGGCTAGACTTTAAGTCAGGATTCCTGCCTCCAAGATCAGGTCTATATGGAGTGCACCATGCTGCCTTTCCTATCATGCGTAGCTCAACAAATGTTTGTTAAACTCCTACTGTGTGCTGTTGGGGATGTTAGCTGATGAGTAAAAAAGAGTCTCTGCCTTCAGAGAACTTCCAGTCTAGTAGTGATGTAGAACAGTTTTCACTCTAATTGACAAGTATTCAGGTTTTTGAAGATTATTGTTGACTCATCCTCCAAACAATTCTTCTGTGGGCTACATATGTAGTGTCATTGTAATCAGGAAGTAGGGTTACAAAAATGGTGGCAGGTGCAGACAGTGCCCCAGGGAAACTATTTTCTTAGTTAAAGATATGCTAACAATATGAATACTTGGTGGGAGAGGTTGATAAGGGTGATATGATATCTGTAAAATGAGGAGGTTGGACTAAAGCAGCAGTTCTTCAAATGTTTCGGTCACAAGCCTCCTTTACATTCTTAAATATTATTGACAAACCTAAGAAGCTTTTGTTTATGTGGATTCTATCCAAGGGTATGCTTGAACATGGAAGAGCCAATTGTTAAATTTTCAGTGTGAGCCTTTAAACTTCAAAAATCAGCTAATGCTAAAAATGTTCTTGTTGGTCACTTAAACTTAAGAACGAGATGGGGAAAATGCTTATAATTCAAACTGAACTTAAAAGTGTGTCATGCCTTTGCAGAGAACTGTTTGTTAAACATCAGCACATCCCTGGTTATATCTATTAATGTTTACCTTATTGGCCTTTAAAATAGATTAATTTTTAGTTATTTATTAATTCATTTATACATAACAATAAAAACCCATTACATGTTAATGTAAATAACATATTTTTATGAAAACTGTAATTTTCGAAACAAAAACAATATTAGTGAGAAGAATGGCATTGTTTTTACATAGTTTTGTAAATCCCTTTAATATCCATCAGGCCTTGAGGCTACATGTGTCCTTCTAGGTCCTCAAGTGCAGCCCTATGACTGAATCCAAACTTCACAGAACAAATCCTCTTAATAAAAGGATATGTTCTATAAGACTTGGACTCAGTCAAAAGGTTGCACCCAAGGACCTAGAAGGCCACATGTGGCCTCCAGGCTGCAGGTTCCCCACCCATGGTCTAGGTCAATAGAAGAAAGTTGAATTATCATATCTGTTTCTACATTCAAACTGTTGCAATATGTTGTTTTGGTTGAAGTGTATGAAAAAAATCTGACCTCATACATGTATGTGGTTGGAAGAGTATTTTAATAGTCAAATGTTTTAGTAGTATTATTAAAATAATTTTGACCTCACGGACCCCCTGAAAGGGTCTTGGGTTCCACAAGGGGTAGAGTCCAGATTTTGAGAAGAGTTGGACTGGATTATCTCTAAGGGCCCGTCCAGCTTGAATGTTCTAGGGGTTTATGAAGATCTGAGTGCCTAAAGAAGAGGATATGAACACGATATGTCATTAAGTCAAGGTACTAAATCTTTTCTACTAGACCCTAGAAGTCAGAACTAGAAATAACAGGGAGGACTGATAGGGAGGCGGCTATCAGTTCTGTTTAAGAAGGTCTTTTATAACCATTGGAGATGTCTAAGATGGAATGGCTGCATTCCCCTGACCCTGGAGCTCTTCCCATTGAAACTGGTTGTTGTAGTTTTCTGCCTTTGGGCTTCAGGTATGGGTTGAATAAGTTGACCTCTGAGGTCCCCTACAGCTCTGAGAGTCCATGATTTTAGTCAAGAAACTAACTCCTGGTATATTGGCCAGGCTAAGAATACCTTCACCACAGTTAATCAATCAAGATGATAGATCCATCGGTGAACCTTAAGTGTTTGTCATTGTGCTTGGTCCCTTCAAAAACCATCTGCCCCACGCTAAGCTTTTCCTCTTCTGATTGGTCACCTGCCAGTCCTGACCACTCTCGTGTGGGCACATCTGCTCCTGTCCTGCTCTAGAGCTGACGGAGCCGGATGACTCGTAACTCACAACTGCATAACAGGATGCTGAAGAGCGCACGAAACTCCAAGTGATTGCTATGAGCCAGGCTCACAGCAGGACAGCAGACTGGTTAGAAAGCTTCCACTGCTTTGCTGGAAGCCTGTTGATTTAAAGAGAGGCATTTCTTGACTGATTGACAGGAGCTTCAGCATTCTGGGAGCTGAAACAGGGCTGAATTCTGTTGCTATTTAAGCTTGTTACCCTCCAGAACCATATAAGGGAGGGAAATCTCTCAAAGATACTTGATGCCTCTACTGCCCTCTCTGGCTTCAGAGGCAGAAAAAGAGAAGTTTTGCATCTGTTTTGCTGTGAGAAGAGACTAGACCTGATAAGATTCGGAGTCCAGTTGATTTGAAGAGCTGGCTGGGCTTGTGTGCATTGCCCAGAAAGTCAACCTGAGGAGTTTTTCAGTTCTTCAGCTTAAGGGAACTCCTTGTCATTACAACAGTGTAAGACTTTCTCAGCAGCTTTTAAGTGCAGCAGTAAGCTAATTAAGAGCTTGTCATTGCTTCATCAGCTCTAAAGCAGAGAAGAGATTTGCCCCAGGAGAGTGGTGAGGACTAGAAGATGAGAGGTAACAGAAGAACAGCTTGATGTGGTGTAAACTGTTCTTAAAGTGACCAGGAAATCAAGGCCTATAGTCCAAAGTTCTAAATCGGCCCCAAGTATGTGGGTTTCCCTGTAGAAACCTAGTAGGTTTTCTATAAGTATGTGGCTACTTTCCCCCATGGATAATACATGCACTGATGGGAAGGCATGAGTAGGGTGTATGAATAGACTGTGATGTTTTGATTATTCCTGTACTTATCTTCCGTTGAGTAATCTTGACGCTAAAATTATTATTGCCTTTGCATTATTATTTAATGAATGTTTTATGTTTGAGCCAATGGCATCATGTTGGCCAATTCCATGTAACTGGCAAGTACACCACTGAGGGCCCATGAGCTACAGTGATGAGTAGTAGGAATGTTTATCACCCTACAACAAGGTTACCCCTAACAACCTGAGAGAGCTTGAGTTATAGCAGCATGGTGGTGACCCCATTGTGGAGAAACCTGACCTGAAAATGTGAGAATTAATTATGCCTCATCCAAACCCTAGAGCCAAACAGAGCTGACCAGGAGGAAAAAGAAGACACTGAGTATATTGAAATGAAAAGAAAAACTAAGGAAAATGGAAGAACCCCATCTAATACAACAGAATGGGTAAGTATGCTCAGTGACAGCTGAATAGAACAATAAATCTCAAAAGGGATTTTGGGATCCTGAAGGTCTCAGCGTCCAACTTATACTATAACAGGAATCTCTATTCATCTAGAATTCCATTTGAAGACCTTGAAAGATGGGAAACATCTTACCCCTGCCCCCAGACAGTCCACTGAATTTCTGAATAGCTCTAACTGTTATTCCTCCCAGCTTTGTGCTTTATGTAGATTTGATAAGTGTGCTTTCTAGTCTGTTGTCCAAATCTTTGATAGGAGATTGGGACTGAACTTATGATTTAATTGATGTAGAGAGCTCTCTCTGATGAATGAACTCCCTCTACCAGTACAGAGAGCTGCCTAGAGCACTGAGAAGTTAAGATGTATTACCAGGGTCACACAGTCTGTCAGAGGCAGTACTTGAATCCAAGTCTGCTAGCTTTGAGTTCAGCCTTCATTCCAAGGACAATTAGTGATAGCTTGTAATGATTCTTGAAGATGCTCTTTATTAGCCAAATATAAATAATCAGTGAAAACTAATAGCCAGTTTTTCACATCACCTCTCAAATAAGTGAATTTTTCTCCCACTGCTGGCCTTCAAATATAATATCTACATTACAAAGGGAACTTTGAAATGATCTAGTTCAATCTCCCTATTTTGTAAATGGGGAAACTGAGGCTTAGAGGGGGCAGTGATTTTTTTAAGATCACCCAGCTCATTGGTGGCAGAGCTTAAACCTGAGTCCCAGCAAGCCTGTCAGTCAGTCAGTCAGTCAACACACATTTATTAAGTACATCCTGTGTGGCTGGCCTTGTGCAAAGCACCGTATGACTTTACCACATCTCCAGAGCTCTTGACATCTTTCTCACATCAGGCAGCCTTGTGAGTTTTCAGGGCCTGAGTCATTGGGCAGATATTTGTTTGATAAACTATAGGGTTGGTCTTCTGACTCAACAATAGGAAATTATTTGCTCCACTACCATTTCAGAGTCATTGCAGTTAAATGGAAATGAGGGGACACTAACCAGAAATTCCCAGAGCACATAGACAAAGCTCAAGCATGGGAGATGACTACTTTTGGTGATGGATCCAACCCAGTACTGTGGGAAGTGAGTCATAGGACCAGGGATCAGAGTGGAGGAAGCGTTCTATGTTCCTTCTAGCACTGGGCAGATGGGAGCATCCATGTACAGCCAGAAGGCAGAAAAAGGAAGGGTTCATTGGCAAGAAAGTTGGAGAGAGATATTCCCCATAAGTGCTCCATGAGGCCCTCCAGTGCTCAGAAGCTCTAGGCAGCAGGAAGGATGAAAAAGCCTAGGAAGAGGGCTCTTCATGGTGCCTGTTGCTGTTGAGAGCCCAAAAAGGGATGAAAGGAAACCCAATACTATCAAATCTGGCTACTTGTTAGCCTTGCTGATACAAGGTTTGTTGAGAAAGATGTTTTCATAATCTTGAAAACAAAAAGTATTGATTAACCTCTCCCAAGGTTTCAGTAACCTAAGCCAATTCTGTTTCCATGACAAGAATTAGAGAATCACAGATCTGACTTTGGAGGTTCAACCCCTACCAAACAATTCGGTCTCACTTTTAGTCTCTCTAACAGATGGTGGCCATCTAAACTCTGCTTGAACACTTCCATGATGGGAAACTCTCTATCTTATGAGCCAGCTCCTTCTATGACAGATCATGGACAGTGGAGATTCGGTCATTCAGTTTACAATCCTCTTCATTCTATTCATGGTTCTTTAGAATTCTGTCAAATGATTAATAGTAGCTTCATTCCTCTGAATTGTTCATATTTGTTTTTCTGGGTCCTCGTACAGATTAACTGGAGCTAAAGTCAACAGGATCTGATGTGGAGAGTTTGATACCCAGAGCAAATATTTACTTGATAAAGGCAGGGATGGTCTGTCTTCTGATTCAGGTTGAGAAATGGTAGGAGTCATAAGGATTTCTTTTCCCTCACCACCATTTCAGTGTTATTGTAGTTATCTGGAGATTAAAGGACCCTCTCCAGGAAAAAAGAAGACAAAGTATGGACAACATGTTAAAATTGGAATAAGCCCCCTTCAGGATCATAGTATCATGAACTACCAAAACTACAGTAAGTTAATTTCAGGGTTACAGTCAACAGTTAAATTAATATACAAGTAAAAGAAAAAACTGTATGGCTTTTAAAACTCTCTCCATTTTTTTTTACCACTGTCACTATAGAAGTGGAAGAGGGTCCTCAGAGGACTGTGGATCATTCTGTTTTTTTCTGTGAATCATGAGATGCCATAACCAAAGTATTCATCACATAGGGGCCAGTTTACTGGGAATAAGCCAAATGGTCAATAAAAATGTTCATGATAGGTGCAAGTAGGATACAGTATATTACCAACAAAGTTATTCAGGAGAGAAAACAATAGTATCAGAGCCAATATTATTATTGATTACCTCCGAGGTCCTTTCCAACTCTCAATCTATGATACTACAATCCTCTATGAGCCTGGAAAAGTAGGTGGTCCGGTCATATATCTAGAGTGACGATTAACTGTACACATGCTCCACTGAGACCCTTGCAGTGGTTAGAGATCTAGAGCAATGCCCCCAGCATGAGGATTTATTGGAGAACATAGAGAAGAATTGTACAAGATGCAGAAGAATGGATGGTTTTTGCAGTCCACACCACTGGAGGAAATATCAATGTCAGTGAGATCTTGGAGCCATCCAGACACGAGTGACAGCTGACTCAGGCCAGCAACAAGGTGTCTGGCAGAGCTTAAGGCCCATTCTCTCTAGAGCCCAAAGGGATACAAGGAGGTATCAAAACATGCAGGTTGTTGTGTAATTTCCAAAAGTACAAGTCAAAAGAGTCAGTGTCTTTGACCAGGCCATATTTAGCCTTACAGAGTAATCCAATCATAAACAACAGATTGTTCCAGTGGGATTTCTCAATTAAGAGCAATCTCTTTGCAGTTGTGTTAAAAAAAATTCAGACTATAATGTTCAATAATCCAGGTGCATTATTATAAGTCATATTATCCAATTTGTCAGTCACAACTAAAGCCATGTAAATACCATCTGTCTTGGGTATAAGGGCCTTATCTAAACCAGATGTGAGACAGAAGCACAAAAAGTGCTATTCCAGGGGGAAAAGAGTAGGATGTGGTTAATAGTAATAACTATTATTATATATTATTATAATCCATAGATAGTCAGCTCCCATGTTATATTAGATTATTATTGTTATTGTTGCTAACATTTATATAACACCTGCTATGTGCCATGCATTGTACTAAGGACTCGCAACAAACCAGAAAGGCACATGCTGTTGTTTTGTTTTATTTTATTTTATTTTTTATTTTTGGTGAGGCAGTTGGGGTTAAATGACTTGCCCAGGATCACACAGCTAATAAGTGTCAAATGTCTGAGGCCAGGTTTAAACTCAGGTCCTCCTGACTTTAAGGCCAGAGCTCTATGCACAGCGCCACCTAGCTGCCCCAAGGTACATGCTTTTGTTATCCCCATTTTATACTTGAGGAAACTGAGGTAGGTAGAGGTTAATAACTTGCCCAGAGTCACACAGCTAGTAAGTGACTGAGGCTGGATTTGAACTCAGATCTTCCTGACTCCAAGCCTGGCACTCTGTCCTCTGTGCCATCTACTTGCCAAAGCACAAGAACAATTCTGGTCAAAAGAGCAGGTCCTTGTGAATAGGGACATTGTCAGAGCAATGAAACAGACAACCCATAGACCTTTGCAGTCTGTGTTATAATAAGTGTTTGGGCTGTCACATAAGTCCTTAGGATGCCACTTTAGAATGGTTTGGCTTCTGTGGGTGGGTGACCTGTGACCCTTTCATGAGGTAGCGAATGATTAGACCTAGCAGAGTATTCAAAGATGCAGAACCTCTGCACTAACATTAGAACTGAGCTTTCAGAAGATATCCAACAAGAAGACCACTAATACCACTCATTTATTATGTGCTTTGGTGTGCATAATGCTATGAGAGGGTCAGGGGACCTAGAAGTCTGGATTCTATCCAAACTTTGTCCTCATGGAATTTAGGGTCTAGCAGAGGTCTATAAAACATGTTCATATAGCTATAATACACAATACTACATGGTAAGGACAGGAGAGAGGAGCAGATAAGAGGCTATATTTCCAAGGACATAAGTGGCGGGGAAGGCAGAGGCAAAAGGTGGTATATAGTCTTGATATCTGGAGAACCAAATCACTACCCTTGGCCTACCAAGTAAAGTCCTTTCTATTGTACTCATCATGGAGGTAAGGAAGAAGATAAGGGAGCTCTCAACAGATGTGCCTTGCCTAATGCTGAGATATTTGGGGGTTTATTATGTTTTTTAATACCAGTTATGATGCCACCACCTCCCCAAGATGATTCAATATGGTACCTCCCTTCATATCCTAGGCCTCTTCATGTCCCTAGCAGCTGCTTAGGGGGGAAAAAGTCTCCAAGCTTTGTCTTGATAATTTCTCATCATTCAGTTGCTATTATTTTGTTGTGATTATTCTTTCATTTACACTGTAACAGAAACTATTCTACATAGGTAGAGTCTAAAAGGATCTCAGGTTGTCTCAGGAGTTGGATTGCCTACACCTGAGCTATTCCAGGTGGTCCTGAGAGAAGCCAAGAATAGGGGCCCTCCAGGAGCCACAGGATCAGAATCATTCAGCCCCCTGTTCTCCTTATAGTTTGGGTGAGAAAGCCCAGCCAGCAGGTCCTTGAGGGTGAGTTCTAATGAGATTGGATAGAGGTGAAATGGAAGAAAGGTTGAACCTGACCAAATTACTTAACTTCTTTGAGACTCAGTTTCCTTATCTTTTCTTATCCTTATCTTATGAGGCCCAGAGAGGTGACACTTGTCCTCCCTCCTTTAAGGGTGAGAAATGTCTGTTTTGTGTATCCTCAGCACTCAACACTGTGCCTGGCACAGATTGAGTGTTTAAAAATGCTTTCTCATTCATTCATTTATTCATTTATTCCCACACTGAGC